TCATCTTGCATGCATTTAGATTATAAGTGACCTATTTCACAAATACGGTTACTTCCAAACTATTCAATCTACATACATGTACCATGATCATCAGTGTGTAATGTGAGACAACGGGAACTATTCATAAGTTTTTCTTGCCTCGAACATGCATGTATGTTTATTGCCATATGGACTTTCAATATAGAAATATTATATTTGTGCAAATATTACACTTAAAAGGTATTGTCTATTCCGGATAAAATATAAAACTTAATCAAAGAATAGGTCAATTCAATTTTTGCGGTTCCATTTTTTCCATTAAAATTTTACATCTAAACAGGGTGTGTTCGAAATGGTAAAGTGATTAACATTTAAGTCTCTACTGCATATAATTCAAGTTTGTTGATTTTTTCCTGAACCTCTTTTGACTAGCGGCTTACTCATTAGAAATAAATATATATGATATTTTAAACATCTTATACAAACATATGTAAGTAATACCACGGTTTTTTTATTGGGTTTATTTAAATTGGTATGAGACAACTATTCAACAATGAGCAAAACCCATACCGTATAGTCATCTATACAAAGCTCCGCAATGAAAAGAAGTAAAACATTTCAAACTTAAAAAAACAACTGACATAGAAACAAAAGACACAAACTGCCGACCTTATAGTACTCGCAGTTACTGAAAACAAGTTTAAAGCCAATAGCAACTAATATATACATCATGTTTCTCCCAGACTTAAGTATAAATCAGTGCACCTCCAACGGATTTGATGTAAAGACGTCATAAACAGTCCGATAAAACAGAAAAGGGGGAAAGAGGTATACAATAAAACAGGCTTTATTCTTTTAACTGTAATTAAATTCTTTCACAAATTAAAAAAAAATGACTGTCCCTGTAAATTCTTTTTTTTATTTCTTTTTACGGTAATGATGTTTATAAAGCCTATAACTTTTAATACGTTCTATGTAAACTCATTGAACCTTTGAATAATCTTATATTGTGCCTGTTCCAACTCAGGAGCATGTAATTCAGTATAGTTGTCGGGTGCTGCTGTATATCATAATTGTTTTCGTGTATTGTTTTGTACATACATCTGGTCGTTAGTTTTCTCGTTTGAATGTTGTTATGCCGGTACCTTTTAATTTTATAGCTTGCTATGCTGTATGGGGTTTTCTCATTGTTGAAAGCCATATAGTAACCTATAATTGTTAACTTTTTTATCATTTTGATACTGGTGAAAATTTGTCATTAACACGCATACTACATCTACTTATTTTTATTTTGGGTCTAATACTTATTTTAGGTAATTAGAGTGACCATAGACACTAGTAGTAGTATTTCATAGCCAAAGATAATTTAAAATTTCTATAGTAAACGATAATGTCAGTTTTGATTTATAAGAGGCAACAGTAGTTTACCGATATTTACATCTCATAAATCCATTAAAAAGATATCAAATTGTCCCGTGTAAAGGTCATTAGCATTTGAACAAAACATGTAAAATATATGTGGTGTGTAACTTAATATCTTTCTACTGTATTTTAATCACCAATTCTTTGAGCCTATAAAATACTTCGTTTTCTTTAATATTCACTTGAACGTTTGACTACGGGCTTCTACAGAAAGGATAGTAGTTTGAAATTTCGAAGTTTAATTTATATTCAAATACACAATACATGTTTTGATTTTTATTAAAGCCATACAGGAACACACTTCATCTCATTTGTTATCACAAAAATCCATTCTGTGAAAAGAGATCATGGATTGTGTATTCTAAATCTCAATTTTGTACAGAAAATCTTGGTTGAGAAACCTGACATTTCTTACTGTTTAAAACAAGATATTGATTTGTTTATCATAGATATTTGTAATAGACAGCGAGTTTGACTAAATAGAAAGATCGAACAAACAAATTTAGCCATTTGTTTTAAAACTGAGTTGTTGGTTTATCTATATTTTAACAAGATGACACACACACACACACACACACACACACACACACACACACACACACACACACACACACACACACACACACACACACACACACACACACACACACACACACACACACACACACACACACACACACACACACACACACACACACACACACACACACACACACACACAAAGAACTGAGATTTGTTATCAATATTTCCACCTCTCTATCAGTAATTGATTTGAAGTTTTCGTATAAACTTATCCTTGTAATTTCAAAACTCATCAGAGATACACTGCTTATAAGGTAGTTCGCCTGTCACGTGATAAGCCTACCAAGGAATCATCAGTTGAGTAGAATCATAACATTTTGAAAGTTTAATCAAATACGAAGTTAAAAGAATTGAAAACCGAAAATTCAGAAAAGTTATGTCAGAAACGACTAAGCATTCTTTGCTTAGGAATAAGAAATCCTTATTGTTTGGAATAAATCGATGTTTTATAAAAAAAAATTGTACAGCCTGTATAGTTTTGAACAAATATTTTTACATTTTTGCAGCAGAGGTAAACGTGTTATTCGATCATTTGATTAATACTTAGAGGAATATATATATATATATATATATATATATATACAGCTCGTCTAAACATCAGCCCAACAATGTTAGATCTGTAAATTTGCTTTCGCAAATTTTTGTTCTTCCCTCGCCGGGATTCGAACTCATGCTACTGAGATATCGTGACACCAAATCGCCTGCACTGTATCCGACGCGCTAGACCACACGACCACCTAGGCTTCACAATAATAAAGCTTTCGGTGGCCGGGTGTTACCTTTCCTCGTCAGTTTTAATCTAGCGTCGTAATACAGTACATGATATATAAGGCATGAAGATGGAATTGTTACAGATCAGCTGAAATATCTATTGTTAAGGATCCTACAAATTAATGCAAGATACAGTCACAGAAATAATTATATTAATAAGTACGTCTGAACCAGTGACAATTCTACTACAGATTTATCCATCGGATCAGCAGCAGTGATGATGATACATGGCTGTGTACATTCTGTATATACAACTCGTCTAAACATCAGCCCAACAATATACGAGTCTAAATTGAAAACAACGTTCAAACCTATGATTGCGTTGGATAAAAACCGCAATTTTTATACGTGTGCATGCAAAACAAATTTCTTGGTAGAGGGGTCTAAATACAGCACAAACAACATTTTCCAAAAGGCCAAAAAAGTGAAAAAGTATATTTTAACAAAACGCATTTGACTAACAGGTCGAACAACAAATGTTCTTAAACCCTACTGACTGCCATTGGTGATTGCCAAATAAACGGATCACCGATGTAATATATATATATATAAAAGTCTAAATTGAAAACAACTGTGATTGCGTTGGATAAAAACTGCAATTTTTATACGTGTGCATGCAAAATAAATTTCTTGGTAGAGGGGTCTAAATACAGCACAAACAACATTTTGCAAAAGACCAAAAAAAGTGAAAAAGTATATTTTGACAAAACGCATTTGACCCTGATGACTGCCATTGGCGATTGCCAAATAAACGGATCACCAGATGTAACAAAATGGATCTTCTAGATCTCTCTAGACCACACGGCCACCTAGACTGAACTTATAATTTAGCTTTCGGTAGCCTAGTGTTACCTTTCCTCGTCAGTAGAATCTAGAGTTGTAACAAGGCACAGAAAGCTGAATTATAAGTTCAGTCTAGGTGGCCGTGTGGTCTAGAGCGCTGGACACAGTACAGGCGGTGTTGTCTCGATATCCCAATGGTATGAGTTCGAATCCCGGCGAGGGAAGAACAAATATTCTTATATTATGAATATAATATGTGTTTTCAACCGTGTATCACCTTCATTGGTGATCCGATGGGTGGATCTATCATACATACGTCTAAACATGTGACAACTTTATGACAGACATTCTCCATCGGATAACACGTGGTTATACAGGGCTAACACCATATATATATATAGGCGGTGTTGTCGTAGAAGTGAGAAGTGAAAAGTACAGGTTTCAGCCCCGGTCGGGGAGGAAGTTAAGAATCAGATCTACTCTAACATTCTTAGGTTGATTTTCTAGGCACTTTATAAATATTCTAACGCCTGGTATTTCTTAATCATGAGAAATCCGATGGTCAAGGTATAATTTACAATTGTCACTACACAAAGGCAGACATATATATATATATATACAAATTTACAGTGATTGTATGCTTCTAAAAATAGAATAGCATCCTGTAATTATACTGAAGAGATGAGTAGATGATCATTCCTGTACACGTACAAATACTTTGTGTATTGCGTTTAGACGTCCTTGTTTAATTCCTACGAGAAGGTAAAAAAAGCAATGCTAGGCGATGTTGTCGTAGAAGTGAAATGTGAAAAGTACAGGTTCCAGCCCCGGTCGGGGAGGAAGTAAAGAATCAGATCTACAGATAAACATTGTTAGGTTGATTTTTCATATAAAGTGCCTAGAAAATCAACCTAACGATCTTAGAGTAGATCTGATTCTTTACTTCCTCCCCGATCGGGGCTGGAACCTGTACTTTTCACTTCTCACTTCTACGACAACACCGTAATTCATAATTGGGCAGTAGAATAAATTGCTCCCCGTAAAACATTCAGGAGGATCGAAATCAGGTTTTGTTTCATGTACTCTTGGCCTACTACTTATAAGGTATTTGCAACATTTAAGAAATGGAAACGTGCTTTATGAATATTGATATAAAGACTTTTGGTATCTGCTGAACTTTTCATTTCAAATGTGTTTTTGTCATTTGAAATAAGAGTAGTATAAGAATTTAATACCTATCTTTTTTGAATCAACGTGCATCTTGAAAACGTTATTTCTAACATGGCTGTATTTGAAATGTTTATTGATGCTAAATATTCCTTAATATTCACGACAAAGACCCCTTATAACAAAATCATTTTCTCGCAGGACATTATACCTGATACGGTGATAAAAATAAAAAAAATGCAAAGTAGGTGTGTCTTCCTCTGTTCATTTAAATTAATTATGTAACACAGGTAATACTTGTCGTTGTCGAAGTGTAAAATAGATAAACAAAAGAACTAAGTTACCTCGTGCTGGATATAACTCCTTTTACTGTAAGTTTATTGTTTTGTTTTATAATTATTATTTAGTTCCATCCTCATTTCCTAGATCATGCTGTTACCGCATGAGACTTTTCACCAATTTTCTACTGACCATGATCAATATAATATGATGCTCAACAATGAGCAAAATTAATTTCGTATAATAAGCTATCAAAGGTCTCGGTATAATGGAATGGGAAATAATTAAAAATATAAACCAATGGACAGATTACTTTTGTGTGATGAAGGTAAATCTATAACATCCTGTAAATACATTTGATAAACATTTAGCATTAAACATGACATGTGCATGCTCCATATTTGTAAAAATCTATGGAAAGATAAGATAGTTACTTCACTAAAATAACAGTTATTTTTGAACCACGCTGAATTTCTTTTCTTTCATTGTAACTTTATGCTTTTTGTTGTTATGGGGATGTTCATTCCATAGTTTGTTTAATATTTATTGCTTACTGAGAATAGAGATATTATTTTATGTAAATATTACAGGTTTTCGGCATAAAGCATAAACTTATGGAATGAAGGTATTATGTATTAATTAAAATTAATATATAATTTCTTCAAGGCGTTTTATCTAAAATTGCAAAAGCGAACACTTCCTTCCATCAGTTTGATCTTTCCCTATATAGACAACATACTTTCTCTAAAAATGAGTAAATAAAATGTTATCTTCGACGAAATTCTCGGAACGAACCTGAAAATTTGGAACATCCAAAACGTTTAATGGTCTGCATTGTTACTTCAAGTACACTTTTTATATTCGGAAATCCGTTTCAACACATGCACACATTTCAAACTTGATGAGTTTTATTTCAAAATGATTTTATTTTCCTATCCAAATTTAAATATCTACCATCATAAATAGATAACAAGCTACACGGAAAAAATTCAGGGAGATGCTTTTATTTTTATGGTCTATATTATTGTTTGTAAATCTAATAACTGAAAAATGTAATATACATTTTTGATAATTGATGAAATGAACAACTGCAACAGCTAGTCTTTATTTCCTGTCATCATAAACTCTCTTATTATCTCAATTATCTTATCTTGATGTGTAACAACATTATACAGTTCTTGTAATTTCGATTTTTTACAGATAGAAAATATTTGAAGCTAACCGAAGTAACTTAGCATTAAATATACCCGTTCATCAGTAAAAACGAACCATATTTTCTGGAGTACCATAATCTGATACACTCAACAGCTATGATTTTGGAATCAAATGTATGTTTAGTTCGGAAGAAAGGACATTAACATAACGGCTATATACAAACTATATGTTTTGTCGCAGAGTTTGCAACCCTTCATGAACGTTTAAGATAGAAGTATTTTGTTAACCGAATTAGTCAGAAAAAAACGTTATGTTAATGAAATACATGTACCACTTCATAAGTCAACATAACAAATTAGTATCTGATGAATAGTTTCACATTCCCACATCTAATTCGCAATACTTGCACTTTTGAATATCTGAAAAGGTAATAAGTGTATCATAATATGAAAATATAACAAAAACTCTTGAAAGACAGTTGTGTACGCCAGACGCGCGTATTGATATCATTATTGAACCGAGGCATTACTGTTTATATAATTCTATAAATCAATAATTTTCAGAATTGCGCTATACATTTAAGGCGTTTTTATTTTAGATGACATACATAATCATCTTTTATTTATCCAGCTTACTGATTTACAACTGTATATGTTACACCAATTATTATTTGTAGCTTGAACAATTATACACATTACATATTATTATGTTTGCTTGCAAGAAGTAGCAGGTAATCATATATCGGGTTTTTCTGTAATTGATATGAGAGGAGGAACGCTAAATCAAAAGCTTCGACGGTGGTAAAGATAGTTAGATAAAGCATTGATGATTGATGATTTTGTAAATAAGTTCTTTTGTTCAAAATATCGAAAAAAATTAAATAAGCAATTGATAACAGATATCACTTGTGGATAAGAGAATATGTTGTGCATACATTTATAACCTAAAAAAGATGAATTAATTAACAAATCTGAGTGATCCTATAATACCTTTCACTAGATGAAATAAAACTTGTCTGGGGCCAGTGATTTTAAATCTTAAATGGGCAGCCTTAATTTCAAATACTGTACAACTACACGAACTTTATCACAAACCGAATTTGAATATTACTGATACAGCAGAAACTCCAAATTTTCAAATATTTTGTTAACCACAACTCCTAACCCCCTTCTTTTGTTGTTATGTATCGAAATAAGACATATGTGCAACTGGACCAAATAAATCTGTTACCATTCAGTCATTGCTAGTTAGCATTTAAAAAAGGAAGGTCAGGATTGCAGAAGTAAAAACACATTCTAAAAATCCAAAACCGTTTCAACACAGAACGTTATAGAAAACATGCAGATACTACATTTCCTTAAATTGTTTCTTACTGATTTCATTTTTGTTAATTTCACAACCGAACGAAAAGATCTCGTTATAAGAATTAATGACATGGATAACTGCAAAAAATATTTTTGATTCATGTCACAATAAACTGTCTTATTGTTTTATCTTGATGTCTTTTGCCATCGTTATATGGTTATTGTTTTTTGTTTGTTTTGTTTGTTTTTAACTTGCCTGAAGTAAGTTAGCATTTACTGTGCAAATCATAAAGGTTTTGTCCTTTCACAATTCCAAATGCCAGAAAGTTTAATTGCGTAATTCTCTGTCCGTAATGTTGTACTGTATTCATGTCATGTAATGGTGTCATTTTAGTGTTATATTTAACATTGCCATAAAAATGCGAGGTTTGGCTAGCCACAAAACCAGGTTCAACCCACCATTTTTATCTTAAAATGTCCTGTACCAAGTCAGGAAAATGGCCATTGTTATATAGTTCGTTTCTGTGTGTGTTGCATTTTAATGTTGTGTTCCTGTTGTGTCGTAGTTCTCCTCTTATATTTGATGTGTTTCCCTCAGTTTAGTTTGTAACCCAGATTTGTTTTTTTTCTCAATCGATTTATGAATTTCGAACAGCGGTATACTACTGTTGCCTTAATTTACCAAGTTGCAGTTGAAATTCATCTCTAAAAACTGATCAACTTGTCAAATAGTTTTGCTCATTAATTGCTAGTGAAAATTGTTATTATGAAGCAAGTGCGGTATAATAAAAAGAATACTTAAAATCGTATTAGATTTGAATTCATATCTGTAATTGAAGTTGTAATGATATAATTTTTAAATATATTTCAATTGTAAATTCATAAAGTAGTGTAGTAATTTTTGCATTGTTTTAAAAATGTTCAATTCAAAGTTTTCAAATTATCTCTCTTAAAATTTAGTTTTTGTTAAATGTTACAGTGTTGTCTTTAAATCAATATCTGAAATGTATTAAGTTTTAAAGGTAAATAAAGGACAGTCCGATCACTTATGCATAGATTAAATCAAATCAAATCAATTGCCAAAGATTGTCTATGTCCTAGGAGTTTTCTATCTGGTAGTTATTTTATAACGATTTTTTTTGTAACCCGCTCTTCAGAAATATCATTCCGTCCTTAATTTTTTTTATATTTCTCCATCTAATTTGATTTGCTTTTATCTTTGAAAATTATCATTTCTAAATACTGTTGTATAATGAATATTTTTTTTAAAATCAAATAAAAGGCGTTATTACTTATATCATTCAATAGATCAGCATTCTCCAGATTTTCATGCATTTTTAAATTTGAGACATGAAATTCAATAGAAAATTGGATTTAAAATTTGTTTTTTAAATAAAAAGGCACTTCTTATTTGAGTTGATGCATGTTAGGTTTAATGTCAATATGGTGTATAAAATCAGTTGTAACATTTGAATATTTTCAATCTTTCGACTGTTGTGCGGAAAATACGAGAGGTGGGGAATAACATATAAAATGTAAGATTATATTGGTAAAAGAAGACGTTAATTAAAGGAAAATAAACTAATTTATTGACAATATCTATAACACGAAAAAGGGGTGTCAATCACCTGGTATAGTTAGTTATTAGTTAGGTATGATTTGGGTATGAACAAATTACAAAAAAGGCAAATATACAGCACTTCATTTAACAGCAACATTACAATAAGTGTTTGCAGGTTAAATATTTGTTTTGTTAATTGTTGGGGCATCTTCAAATTAAATATATTGGCGTAGTATTTCATAGCCAAAGATAATTTAAAATTTCTATAGTAAACGATAACGTCAGTTTTGATTTATAAGAGGCAACAGTAGTTTACCGATATTTACATGTCATAAATCCATTAAAAAGATATCAAATTGTTCCGTGTAAAGGTCATTAGCATTTGAACAAAACATGTAACATATCTGTGGCGTGTAACTTAATATCTTTCTACTGTATTTTAATCACCAATTCTTTGAGCCTATAAAACATTTCGTTTTCTTTAATATTCACTTGAACGTTTGACTACGGGCCTCTACAGAAAGGATAGTAATTCGAAATTTCGAAGTTTAATTTATATTCAAATACACAATATATGTTCTGATTTTTATCAAAGCCATACAGGAACACACTTCATCTCATTTCTTATCACAAATATCCATTCTGTGAAAAGAGATCACGGATTGTGTATTCTAAATCTCAATTTTGTACAGAAAATCTTGATTGAGAAACCTGACATTTCTCACTATTTACAACCAAGATATTGATTTGTTTATCATAGATATTGGTAATAGACAGCGGGTTTGAGTAAATAGAAAGATCGAACAAACAAATTTAGCCATTTGTTTTTAAACTGAGTTGTTGGTTTGTCTTTGATGACAAAAAAAAAATAAGATGTGTTATCAATAATTGCAGATCTTTATCGGTAATTGATTTGAAGTTTTCGTATAAACTTATCCTTGTATTTTCAAAACTCATCAGAGATACCATGCTTATAGTACGCCTGTCACGCGATTAGCCTACTAAGGAATCATCAGTGGCGCAGAATCATAACATTTTGAAAGTTTAATCAAATACGAAATTAAAAGAATTG